ATAACCGTGGCAGCTTCTTGACAAGAATAATCAAACCAGATGAACAGCACAATATATTCTACAAACAATGCAGAAAACAAAACAAAACAAACAAACAAAAAGTTTTGGCACTTTTGCTTTGTCTTACCATATTCATACAAGTGACCACGGTGTGTCAGGTGTTTCCACACTGGGTTCTTATTTGTGTTTAATAATTGCTGAGGTGCAATTAGATATGACACCATCTTAATTGGATAGAGTGTAGCATAACTACAGCAACCAATTACATTATTGTTGTCCCCGTGATGCACACTAAAGCAACTCGAATATTTACCATCAGGGAGGGGTGGAAACACTCCAAAAAAGGCATTTTTTCACTTGAAAAAAATGTTAGCTGTGACATCTGGATACAAGTTTCAGTTGCACAGGCTGAGATATAGGTCAAGATAATAAACGGATAACACAATGACCAGTCTTCATCAGCTACTGGGACTGTGACCAGAGGCCGATGCCTTAGCCATTTCCAAAGGCTCGTGGTTGTTGGTTGGGATGTAAACCCCACTTTCTCTAGCTATAAACTGGTTTCGGTGCAGCTTCCTTCCAGTTCTTATTTTCTGCTCCATTTGCCTCCCACAAGCTTTTCTATACCTATACCTCTTAAGGGGATAACAGCCAAAGCACTCTTCAGCATCTGAAGATATTTTTTGTTTTTCTTTTTTTCCTGTGTCTCATTTTCTGCCCAGCAGACATCTAGCTTTTATGTGGTGAGCTCCAGCATGCTTTTTCAAACTCCTCCTTTTGGGCTGGTAGTAGGAAGACAGAGAACAAACCACTACACTACATACAGAATGATTCCTCAAAGTCTTGGGAGGTTAGGAAGCAGCCTGGCATCATATTTCCTTGCTTCAGCAGAAAATAAGATAGGTTGTGAATATTGCAGGTTTTTTACAGTATCACCATTGCTAATCAGGTCTGACTATTCATGCTAGAAGCTGTGGCACAAACAGTTTTTTGACTCTTTGTGATGTTCATATACCCTGTCTTTTAAAAATGAATACATAAATTGGCAGTGGCACAGTGCAGCTGGTTATATGGAATACCATGCTGGACAATGTACCAGTGTTGGGTTGCCAAAAGAAATGTATCGGCACAGCCACAGCTTTCGTGTTAAAGTTGTCCCCATTCAGTGAAGCCAGCTATTCGCAAACACCGATCACAGAATATCTAGTTTATAAGTATAAAGGATTTAACTTGGCACTAGAGGTCAGTGACAAAGCTGGTAGGGATTTTTCTGGTTAGTCTTTCTTCCAACTGAAACCAATCCTTTGTATCCCAAAATATTTTGAATAATCCAATAGATTATTACTATTTTCTCCCCAAAATTTAACACTTACTATTTTTCCAATTTCAGGGGAAAAAAGTAAAATCTTAAATTGAAAAATCTCAAATTTCACATTGAGATGTTGTGAAGTAGTTGGAGACAAATTTCTTTATTTCCTGAGAGAATCCCTATTCAGTATTGCTGAGACTGAAGCAGTATTTACAAGTATAAGGCAACACTGCTGAGGCCAATATTTTTTTAGTTATAAATGTGAGTAGGCAAGGCAAGTCCTGTTGAAAGCCTCCTAGCTGCTCACAGCTAAGCCTGGGCTTCCCCCAGTGATTAGGCTTACACTCCCCCTCACCGTGCCTGCTGCAGAATTTGCATTACACCGTTGTTATTTCAATTACAAACATTTCCTAAATAGCATCCAAATATAGGTGAATTTACCCATCATCATTACATTAAGTATGTGTGAAGAAAACAAGTAAGTGTCCCATTTGCTCACTCATTTCTACAAACCCAAAGATAAGGAATCACATCACACTCAGTTTAGCGAGCTTGCAAATAAAAGCAGCATTCACTAGTTATGGCCAGTTAGACTAAAATATAGTATGATCTGTATATACACACGTATATAGAAAGCTGAGATTTTCCTTTTAGGCCCTAGGACTCCATTCTAATGGCAGTCTCTTTAGAAATAGGCATCTTTCTTCAATATAGTTCAATGTACTTTGCCAGAGTTCGGCCTTTTGCTTAATTTACTTCGTGCAAATGGCCAATTGAATGAGTAATTTGAACTGTGTCTTCCATGCAAGGACTTAGTCTTGTGTAAGCATCTGGGTATGAGCGAGGGGCACTGTGCAGTCAGTGCAGCAGTGAAGGAATGACTGTCGTTAATTTACTTGATATTCATAATTCAGGAGCATTCTGGGCTTTTAACAAGACAAAAGAGAAGTCAAAGATTATCTGGAAATGGAAAACATATTTCTTTACATCTTCATAAACACTCAAAGAACCAAACTGCAGCAACATTAGTAATCCATCAACCTAGTAACAATGTAGTCTGCCACTGACCACCTGACAGAGAACAAGTGCACCAAATTAATTTTCCACAGTACATTTCCGGGGTAACTTTCTTCACTATGCTTAGAGAGATGACCGAGTAAAAATAACAGGTCTAAGTAAAAAACAGAGGTAGAAAAACTGTCCTGGTTAACCACACCTTATTTACATTGTTTTTGCAAGTGTCCACAACTGCAAGTCACTTTGGCAGTGAGTGTAGAAATACTGGTGCTCACAATACTTTCGTCACAGTGAATTCATGATGTCTTGACAGACTGAATAATAAGAATTACCACAAGGGAACTTTGTGGTAGTAGCATCTACAAAGTGGTGATTTACATCTACTCAGAAAAAAAATTAGTGAATGTCATGGTAAAAGGCTGGCACCTTCCTTATATTAAAGGTCCCACCCATGCTGGTATCTTTACAGCTGCCCTGTCACCGAAATACGGCTGTGCTAGCATTCCTCCTCAAAAGCGTACTTGCAGATGCAACCATAAGAGACACACATTTGGAAGACATGGATGGCTTGGAAAGGGCAGTCAACTATTTCATGGTTCAAGCCATTAGAGTAAGAGGCTTTCCTCAGCTGTACTCTAGAGACAGAATGGGAATGGAATAGGATTTTGCAAATTCTTGCTCTAAGAGAAGAGTCACTCAGTTACATCAGACATGCCAGTACTATAGCTGAACAGAAACTTCCTGAGAGCTTTTATTTATTAGAAAATAGCAATTCATTAAAATAACAACCGTTTCTGTGAAAGGGTTGACTTAACAAACTTACCCTGTCAAGGTAAACCTATCAAAAAAGATTCAAAACATGTTCCAATACTCCTTCGGGGAATTCTGGGAACAGAAAAGTTTCTAGTTTTTTCAAATAACATTTCTCTTTTAAAAAATGAGCCAAGTTATTTTACATGCATGTATAATTTTGAAATCATAACAAAATGTTTCTCCTGATGTGACACATTATTTGCAAACAAAAGTCCAACTTCAGATTTCATTTGTTTGGTAAAAGAAAAAAAACCACTTACTGAAAAACTCTTTTGTTATGGGAAAAGCATTTCTCATTCAGCTCTACCTACTACCACAACCAGTTTATTCCCCATTAATAACCAGTAACAAGAAGAAGAATCATACTGTTATTAGATGGTAGCACTTCTAACATTTTTCTTGAGCTGCCTTGAGGTGCTCTCACAACTTGTTTATATGTGTATGTGGCAGGAAGATGTGATTACACTGCTCTGCAGAGGCAGGGGCAGCCTTAGTCTGAACAGCAGAGACTGCACCAGCAGCAGCAATGGTGAAGAAGAAAAAAGTTAAAAAATGCCTTAGCTTTCCTTTTCTCTCCCAGCAGTAAATCTGTTAACTGGCTTCAGAGCTCCTCTTCAGGCACTCAGCTTCATTAATGAGCTGTGGAAAGCCAAGTGTCTCAGTTCCCTTAAAATCCTGGCAAACTGCAGGGATATTTGGCTCCTGCCATATCCTGTAGGCGCTTGGGGAGTGGTCCACTCACTCCATCATAATAAGCCTTCTTTCCCCTAACTGCCCAGCTTGCTTTTTACATGATCATAAGCCTGTGCTTGATGCTGCGGGAGTTACTGTATTGTCACCAATTCAGCACCATGGTTTCATTGCAGGAGAAAAATGCACTCATCTGTGATTTCAGAAGCCGTGACAAGGTTCTAGGATTGACAATCAGCTCCAAATATCTCAAAATACACATCCTGGAGAAAGACTCAGCAAAAGGATATGCTGAGCATGTTGAAATCTGTTGAAATTTAGGTTTGAAAATGGAGTGCAGCATACAATTCTGACTAAACTTTTTAGAGGCTGGAATCAAACATTAAAAACAACTAATATATTATTGTGTAAAGTATCCAGGCTGTGTTCTCTACTATAAAGGAACAAATCAACTACAGAATGGATATGGGGTGAGCACTGGTATAAAACTGTACATAAGCAATAATTAGCTCCTGCTTTTAGGTATGTCTGCTACAGAAAATGTTATCTTGATATGATATTGTAATACCTACTGGCAGGGAAAAGGAGAAAACATAAGGACAAAGTGTGAGCTTTCAAGAAATTACCTAATGATAGTCATGAGCCAAAAGTGCACATTCTGCACCATGGGGCATGTCTACAGAACGCAACATAATGCTGTGCAAATAACCAAGCTGGTTCTGGTATTAAAAGCAGTGTAACAGCATATATACAGCGGCCTGCCTGAGCCATTTTAAATTAGCCTGGCTATTTAACTGCACAGAGTGGTACTACTGACCTGCATTCAAGCTGCCTTGGAATAAACTTCAAGTTCTGCGTTGTATCCTAATGCTGCAGCAAATTCAGTCTTTGCATTGGTGTTCAATTGTTTGGAAAACCTATTTTTTAGTTCAAAGATCTTTTTTATACAAAAGTTAGCATGTATTGCTACAACCATTCATCATCCTTTAATCATGGCATTAACTGTTTGAAGTGCAGGTTTGTTGTACTCAAACTCCCACTTCGTAGTAAATAGTGTTTTGTTACATTAATTCTCATGACATATCCTGTCTAATCTGTACTGGATAATGTTGTTAAAACCTTAAGACTGATTTATTTTTTCCTTAATGCTTCTTGATTTTCTTTAATACAGATCCACCACAGATGAATAATGTCATGCCAACATCTCCCCTGCTTCCTCAGATGACACATCAACATTCATATCCCAGCCTGGGACAGATCACAAACCCATATGAGCAACAGCCCCCAGGCAAAGAACTTAACAAGTACGCCTCTCTAAAGGCAGTCGGTAAGTAAGCAACACGATGCATGACTTCTCCTTTAGATCAGTATGTTGCATTTGCTGTTGTCAGCTGACATTCTGCTTCAAACTTAAAAACAAAGTCTTGCTCATCTGGCCTACTTCATGATAGAATGTAATATAGAATATCACATTAGTTGGAAATGTATTACAAATTGACAGGGGGCCTACAATTAATGATAAGAAAATTACAAGTAAGAATCAGTGATCATATGCACATGTGTCTATATATGCATACAAAAACACACCATAACTACTGTACACCATTTTTCAGCAAGTTTCACCTATGTTGTATGCATAGTGTCCAGCCCTAGTTCTTTGTGCCCTGAATATGCCTACCTGTGCATTTCATTATGTATTTTCCATATCTATCTGCACAAATGAGAAAGATAAACATCAGATTATGTTGCAAATTTAAAGCATATAATTTAGACGTCTGCTAAATACCGCAAAAAAGAGAAGACGTTTGTATGCTTCCGAAGTAAGAGCTTTCACATTTTCCGCATGTGCATTAGTAGGTCACTGGAGGAATATTCTGAGGCCTATGATTTCAGACACTTAGTGCATCATAATGCTCCTAAAAAGATCCTGGTGGTGGCTATTTTCTGTGACTGATTAATGTCATACACTATTTAAGCAAATGGGGGAACATCCTCAAAGAAACAGTTCTAGGGAGGGAAAAGGTCAACAGTCGATTTCAGTATAATTTTCGTATTGGAAGCATGAGTTGATAATACTTTTCAGGGACTGTAAAGACCCGCTGCACACCATGTGAAGACAGAAAGCCTTTATCACCTTACATTTCAGGTCCCTTCTAGACAATAATAAATTAAGAACTGGGTGGGAGGGGTCTATTCATAAACAGCTTCTCACTAACCCTTGCTCAGCTTACACATATGGATGTTAACATCATTTCCCCATGAATTTAGAGCAGTATCACACTGCCTATTTCCAGACACAGCTATTTGGCTCAGAAAAACAGCAGAACAGCTGAGAACATTCTGACTTAAGAATCTAGTATTCATGCCAGCAAAATTTTTCATCACAAAGTGACATTCCATCAGAACTTCAGGATAGTAGACGTCGAACAAAATGTACATCAAAGTCCCATCTAAAATAATTAAGCTTTTATATTTATATCTATATTTACTATATTTAGTTTGCCTTTTTTTTCCTCAGAAGTGGCATTTTAAAATCTGTTTACAAAAACACGCATTAATAGCTTTCTGCTGAGTTTTGAATACAAACAGAATAGCCTTACTATTTCTTCTTCATAAGGTGACACTGTGTAATGATCTGGTGATTATCACAGATTTAGGCACTGATATCAGGCTTCTTTCTCAGATGTCAATTTAGGTCAAGCCAATCATCAAAGCTTAAAGGTACTTAAGCATAATAAAATGAGAGATGAAACACTCAAAAGAAACTTCTCTTATCTGCCTAAAAGCCACTGAACATACCTTTTTAAAAAAAAAAAAATTCAATTAGAACTTAGATATTTCTGGGGTGTCTGAGTACAAGCTTTTAAAGCAGCTAGACTATAGCCATACAGTTAAATCAACCTTAAAAGATTGTGCAATTCAGCTCCAGAAGTTGTAAAATATCTTTCAGAATGTTAAACTAAATTAAATGTAACTTTCAGGGATATATTCTTCCAGCATGATTGCACCATCTTTCCGTGCTTTTCCCCTACCCTTCCTATCCCCTCTCTCTTTTTTCACCCTGTAGATCTACTGGTCTTAGACCACATTAGCCAAGTTTTAGATTCAGGTGAATTTTCACAAGAAAAGTACAAAAGTGCTGCATTGTCATCCAAACTTTTCAGCAGAAAATAATACAGATTTTGAAACTGTTACACATTCATACCTTATGTCTAGACATATGGAGCAACAGTTAAATGCACTCAGTTTTTAACCACTTTCAGACTCTCAAGGCCATGCTTCCTCCCAAGAGGCACCTCTTGAGTACATCCCAAGACCACAAAGCAGTTTTTCCATGATGCAAGCCAGGCCTGGGTTTGTGACCACACTGACATCAAGCTAGCCAGACCGCTCATTGCATGGTTCATATTTGCTTTATGAGAGCTCCGAGAGGAAATATCAAGTGGCCTGCATCAGGCCCACCAATATAAATTTAACCTGACAAGATCTTTTGAACACAAATAGACATAGACTGAGTTCACCCTGACCTGGTATTCATGACACAGAGCAATGGCATTTTTCATATGCTAACATTCAGAGTTGCATTTACTGATCCCCATAACAGATTAATGAGTGCGTGTAGTCCATTTCTCTTCGCATTCATTGATAGTGTCTTGAGAGTGGATTCATTTGCCACAACAGAAATTAAATAAGGGATGTGTTCTGTATTTCTCCATGTGTTTGAGGCAAACCATATTCATTTAAGTGCCTCTTACTGTGTCTGATCCCATTGTTTGGGTGTAGTCCACTATGCTTAATTCTTTTCTTCAATGGGGGGTGGAGGAAGAAGCATTCCTATTGCTTTGTAACAACTGTAGCTGTAGTACATTAATATCACCCATCAATCATAACATGGCCATAAGTGGTAAGAAGTTTAGATAACTGAAAAAGTGATGCTTTACCAAAAGCTTATTAAATTAATTTCTACACAGTTGCTTTCTTCTGAATTACAGATGTCCTGAAAATTTGGCTGTCTAATTTTACAAGTGAGATACTCATCCCTCAGTGGCTGGTTGCTGTGAAAATTGAGTTCATGGAAAAGTAGCGAGTCACAGTAATCTCTGTTCAGGACCTGCATTAAATTCAGTACCTAAGACTCAAGCACTTGTGGAAAGAAGAGACAACAGTGCCATTGCTATGAATTTGTATTGTGTTACTGAATAAGAATGGCCAACACCTTGCCAGTGAGGCCAAGCTGGTCCCTAGGAAGCTATTTTAAAGCTACACCCTAGAGTCCAAACCATGTAGCTTAACAGAGTGCAATTTAAAGTTGGACTGTTCATGCATGTATGCAATGCAACTTGTGCATTGCAGAGTGTCTGATTCAGCACAACAGGGGAGAAGAGAGTTGAAAAATCCAGAGTGGATTTATTTTATTTAAAAAGCAAACTATTTTTATGTGAACCAGTTCAAACTGCATAACTAAACACTTACACACTCAATGGAAAAAGATATTTTCCTAATTTCTTGTTAGGAATGTCTTTATTTGTTGCAGCCTCCAGAATTCCTAAAGTACTGACCAACGGCTACTGACCAAATTCACCTTTTTCTCTTACTGTCTGCTGGCATTTACATCTCTGAATAACACGAGGGCATTCTGTGCCTATTTTATATTCTCAGATAACTGCTTGGAGCACAATAAGGTAATAGTGAATTGAGATTTACTTACTGTTTTCCTCACTGCATCAGAATTTTACTCTCCTTCTACCTTAATACATACACCACCAGGGAATAATCATCAGAAGGTAGAGAACCCCCTAGAAACGAGACAGAGCAAAACACACTTCCTGAAAGAATAGATAAGCAATCCATCTCCTAGCATCTCTAGCCTATCTGACTGATAGGTGCACTCTGTTCATCCATTATTTGTCCATTTTTGAGCCAGACATTCTTTTGTCAACAGTGCTAAATTTGTCCCATCAAGGAATGTCGGAGATTGTATCTGAGGGAAAAGGGTTAACAGGCTCTAAGACCAGTTCCACCAGAAGTGGTCACTGTATGTTGTGTGGCAATAAATCACCCAGTGTTTAGATATTCCAATTTTTTGTTCACCTGAGATGACATGATCATGGTGCTTTTGCAGTATTTTTGCAGTATTTGATTATTAATGTGAAAAGTGCAGAAATAGGTTTTTCTGCATAAATTATTCTTATTTCCAGTTCATCAACCATGTTTTTACTCCATGCTTAAATGGTTATTGCTCAATTAAGCAATCCTGACATGCCTAAAGCTGAAGTGGATAGAGATCTTGTAGCTGAACGCCTTCATGAGTCCCAGGACATACAAAGGTAGCTCATCACAAATTTTCATGTACATCATTTGGAAACTCATTCAGAAAGCATGAACAATCCAACTTCAAATTCCACTCTGCTAAGCTGTAAGAGTTGGAGTCCATCCTGTTGCTTAATAAGAGTTTCCTAGAGCTCAAACTGGCCTCACTATCCTGAGGTATTAAGTCACTCACATTGTTCTGTGAGCCTCGCTCAGTAACAGTTAATTTTCTTTCCTGAGTTTTAGGGAGTGCAAAGTGACTAAATTTCTTTAGAACTTCTTGCAAAAATAAAAAAAAATACCCCAAACCCAACTTTCTAAAGCCCTGTAGGACTGGGAGAAAGATCACTCAGCTGCTGGAGAGGTGCACAGACATACATATAAAAACTGAGAATGTAAGTATTTCTACAGTATAACATGATTTTACATTTCTTTCATAAACTTTCTTCTTTTCCTCTGTCACACACACATTCACACACAAACCTGTGAGGAACTGACTGGCCATGACTTAAGATAACTCAGCTAGTCAAAATTTTTGAAAAAAAAACCAAAACAAAAAACCCAACAATGGACAGAATTCCTCCCTGAAACTCAGACCCAGAAAGCCTTCAGTGATGCTGGGAGTTGTAGTCTCCTGTGGGATGAAATCAGATCTAATTGATTGGATATAGTGAAGCTAGAAGGAGGATATAACTGGCAGCAGACTCACCATCACATCTCTGAGTCTACAGCTCCTGGCATTTCTTGAAGCTTCACAGTTCTTTGATCCCAAAGGGAATGTTATACAGTGCTCCAGCTCTGCTTGTAGCTGCAAAACTCCAAAGTGAGATTCTGCAAATATGACACTCAAAGAATAAATATCTCCTGTTTAGGTCACTGTTACTATGTAGAAATTATTGTGGTCACAAGTGCACCAATGCACAAGGGAACATCACCCTCAAAAAGGTGGAGCATGTAAGAAAACTGTCTGGTTTGTTTGTCCTTTACGTCTACACACACAGAAGGATACAAAGGGGA